TCAGATTTTATTTGTAGAAAAACCAGTTCAAACCATGCTTTATTTTCCTTTCACTTCAGAATAAGTCACAACTTTGTATTTTTCTTGCATGAATAGCTCAATTTAAGTCATTGATGTTTTTACAGACAAAATGTAGAAAAGTTCAAAGCACTCCTGGATCTATTCACCTGTCAGTCATTTTGGCGATGTGTATCATCCATCATTAAAACGTCTCTTATAGATCTTGCTCTTCTTCCCTTTTTTCCTGCCATAACAGGCTTTTCAGTAAGATCCCAGTGATCAACGACGACCTGCCTCTAAAGATTCTTTCAGGATCTGTCGTCATCAAACCAAATGTGAAGGAAATTTGTGGTTCCACTGTGATTTTTCAAGATGGCAGCACAGTGGAAAAGGTCAGAAACTTTCTCTTTAACATCGAACAGTCACTTTGAGCTCCTAGCATTATCTCTTTTTTTTGTACCACAGGTGGACACATTGGTGTTTGCAACAGGGTACAACTACGACTTCCCCTACCTTCCAAAAAACCTTTTATACAAGTCCGGCCACAGAGTGGGTCTGTACAAGCATGTGTTCCCTCCAAACCTGGAGCATCCTACTTTAGCTGTGGTGGGATTCATTCATGCATTAGGAGCCATCATGCCTCAAGCTGAAATGCAAGCTCGCTGGGTGGCACGTGTCTTCAGAGGTGAGATGCAAGGCCTTCCTGTCTCCCGATGCTCGTTTTAACCCTTTAAAATCCTGGGTCACTTTAACATCATTTGTATGTCTTCATTTCTTTTTGGTTTAAGGACTCAAGAAGCTTCCCTCCAACCAATCCATGATCAAAGCTGTTGAGAAGGACACTAAGAATATTGAGAACAAGTAAAGGTTACTTTCTTTATCAAATGAAATATATACAACTGGTTCTTAGCAATTTTCCTCTGCTTATTCTAACCTTAATGTGTCGGACATCTCCGCAGCTATATTGTGTCGAAGTTGACCCCTCTGCAGGTGGACTTTGTGTCCTATATGGACGACATCGCCGGAGAGATCGGAGCGAGGCCGAGTCTACTCTGGCTCTTCTTCACAGACTACCAGCTGTTCAAACATGTTCTCTGGGGTCCTGTGTCCTCCTACCAGTACCGGCTGATGGGACCGGGAAAATGGGAGGGGGCCCGCAAAGCCATCCTCACTCAGTTTGACCGCATGTACAAGCCCCTAAAAACCAGAAAGGTCTGCAATGGTTTCCAAAACAGTTTCCCATCAAGTCATGTTTTCAAAATAAAATCCATATATCCTCTTTTCATTTTCTTTCCAGCTGGAGGAGAAGGAATCCTCAGTTACTGGCCGCCTGGTTAAGCTGAGCCTCTTGATCCTGGGTGGAGGGGGCGCTGTATACTACTTCCACACACATAACCCAGAGACCATACCCACCCTCCTGTCCAAACTCCGTCCACAGACAGTCTGAGCATGCTGCAATGAACACAAGAACTCTGGATCACATGTTTTATCATGCATTAGGTCATGGAACAGGATTGTGGTGATTATTGATTAGATCAGATGTCTGCAAACTGTGGCTCCTGAGCCGCAGCTTGAACAACTAAAGCTAAAAATTTTAAAGAATTAATAGTAGTTTTAAATATAGAAAAGATATAACATTTGCAAGGTTATGCATGTTTTTTCATGGAATAATCGGTTAGAATTTTCAGGAATAAACACAATAAAAGTACCTATAATATATTGTTTTTGTTATCATCTTAAAACATAGTTTTTTTATTATAAATGTGCAAAAATATAATATCTTATATAAAAAATGTAAACGTAATTATTTTCAAACTTAAAATAGAAATAAAATGATGTTTCTTTATAAAAGACAACACATTTTCTGCAGTAGAAATCTAGCAAAAATCGCGAGGTTTTGTTTTTAAAAAGGTCAAGTTGCGGCTCTAAAGTTTGACTTTGCTTTGGATTGTAAAGGTTGCAGACCGCTGGTTTAGATAAACGCAGCAGCTGATTGGGAGCAGTAATGTGTTTATATTTTCATCTACTTTAAGGTGAACTCTGTGATTAACCTGATTTCACCGTCTCAAACAAACATCCCATTGGCTGTAAGTGTAAACCATAAGCTTAAACATGTAAGTTTGAATATTTCATTTTTATTTTCTATTCCGAATAAAAAAAAAAAAAGAAAAAAGCCATTTTGTATATCTATTCTCTCGTCGCTTTTGTTTTTATTAAAATTTCCAAATTAGATGAAGACTTTCTTTACTTAAAATCTAAAAAGTCTTTTAGTCTTTTTCTTTTTAAAATTAAAAAACACAGAATTCTCAGCTCACTGCATAAAAATAAAATCCTTATTTAAAAAGACATAAAACGGACCCAGTGATAGAGATTCTGGCAGCATGTATTCCATACAGGCTCCCAGGACCTATGAGAAAGAAGCAGGCCCTCAGCATCACAGATTCGCCTCCGTGCTTAATAATACATTTTCAGATCACAGGTTCTTCCTTGTTTTCAAAAACAGTGAGGTCATTGTCCATTTTATTTTGCTTTGTATGTTAAGTATTTTAGTGTCTTTTATTCATTGAGCTGTAGTCCTTTTTTAATTATGGGTCCCAAGGAAACTTTGTTAGTCATAGGAGACTCTTAGAAACAGGGGGGTCTTTACCATTAGCTTCTTACACCCTCAGGGGGTATAAATAAATTTCTGCCTGACAAAAACACACAAAAGTAAATCACTTATAGCCTCAC